TCTGAGGCCAGACAGATCACACCGAAAGAGGAAGCACAGCTCACCCGCCCAAACAAATGCCACAGCAGTAAGAAACAACCTGAAAACCGAGTCCAGACCCGAACTAAAATCATGGCAGCAGCAGTAGCAGACCGGCAACATCAAATCCGGCAAAGGGCAGAAAAAAATCACCAAGCAGGGTTCAAGACTTGGGCAGGGGAGAGAGACGTTTGTAGGGATTAAACTGGAGCAGTAGAATCATTGGAGCACAGGCAGTCGAAATGTAGCTCCATCCCTCTCGCCAGCCGAATCACACCCATCCCAACCAGCAAAACAACACCGGAACCCCACCAACCGAACACCACAGCCACAGTCCAGCAAGGCTTGGCAGAAAAACGCCAATGACCAAATAAAAGCCACAGCAATAGCAACAATCTGAAACCCAAGTCCAACCCGAACCGGATTCATGGCAGCAACTGAAAACCTTAACTAAGAATTTGTTCGAGGAATTGTTGAATAGCGTTTTAGTTAGGGCATGTTGGTTTTAGTTAGGGCATGTTGGTTACCATTAGTTATGACATTTGTTTCCATTGTCCAAAAAAAAAAAAAATTCCAGCCAGCCGGGAAAACATTTTTCAAACAAAAAGGCGGGCAAACATTTTTATCATAAACCCGGAAATTGCACACGTGTGGGGAAAATTCGGAAAATATTTTTCGTTGAAAATTTCGCCTATCAAACAGTCAATGGAAAGTGAAAAATATTTTCCTATTTTCTCGGAAAATGTGGCCTATCAAACATGGCTTACCGACTTTCTCTATACCAGACTTGACTCTATTGGACCCAATGATATTACAGTAAATACTAATTGTTTTCTTTCGAAATTAGAAATTTCACATGATGCTCTCTCTCTCTCAATTTAAGCCACATAAATCTCGTGTTTAAAGAATTATTTATTATTTATTTATTTTTTGTTTAACATTCCCGATTTTTTATGAAGTACCATCATATATAACAATATATACGAATTAAAATTATTTCTTGTGTTGAATAATATGGTGTGTGACAACAGATACGAATTAAAATTATTTCTTGTGTTGAATAATATGGTGTGTAATTTGTCACGACTCATTTATTACTTGCAAAATAATCATAACTATATTAAGCCCATGTTTGGTATCGATTTAAATTCAACAATTAATTTTGTAAAAGTTCAAAGCATAAATGATGAAGAAGAATATATTTAATTTTCCCTTTATATTTATTTCACTGAATACATTGGATATTTATAGTACAATGAAGCTAACTAATTACGAGATTATGTTTACAATTCAAAATTCAAAATGTAGATAAATTAGTGCCTAACAATTACAGTTAAGATCTCAGGATCTTTTCAACTCCTTAACAATAATTTGTTAAGTTTGTTGATTGATACTTGTTGAGTCGATCTCGCTTGTAGTTGTTCCAATAAATTTTAATGTGCGTCAAGTTTACTTTGGATTCCTCGAGAAATTGATTCAATGTGCGAAGTAGTCCTGTAATGCAAGAATCTACAAGTTTAGTTATAAGCAAGTCCTGTTACAAGTAAATAAGTACGTTATAAAATAATAACTGTCAAAATAATCCAAACATGATTAGAATAAAAAATTACTTAAAATTACTTTTATACCTAAACCAAACATTCTGATTATGACAGTTTGGTTTTGCTGTGATTGACAAGACTACTCGAGCGATCAACGAGGGCCATAATCCAGCATGATAATGGATAGGGAATTTAATAATAATAAAAAATCTGTATATTTCTTTTTTTTTTTTTTTTTGATAAGAAAATCTGTATATTTCTAATCCACAAATTAAGAAAATAAATTTATAATACATTAATAAAATTCTTTCAATTATTGGCATAATTGACTCTGGTAATTCATGTAGTTGTCAATCCGATATATCTTTTAAAGACATCGTGCTTGTTCTCTTTAATTATAAGTTACAAAAATTATAATGAGATAAAAATAAGTGATGAATGATTGAATAATAATTAAAATTGAAATTCCGACTTTAACCTTTAGATTATATGCAGGTTATAATGAAAGGCATATCGCAAAATGAACTTACAATTATTAACGTAAATTGTAATTAAGCACGGGTGTACATTTGATTAAGCACATGTCTGGATGTGCTTATAAGTATCGAAGTTTATTATTATTATTTGTTTAAAAAATACGACTTATACTTAAAAGTAACCTTTTATTCTTAGCCAAACAAATCATCGACTAGGAGACATGGTTAAATGCACAAGAACAAATTATGGATGAGCAATGATGAGAATATGCAATAGCATTGTCAAGTGGAAATCTTGAAAATTGAAGGAGCCAATTAAATAATTTTAATGAGTGTTGGAAGGGAGAAATGAATTGACAATTTAAAAGAAGAAATAATGTGTGGGCAAGACATTTACTTTATGTGGATGGAACTCATTGAACTTTTTGAGTGGGAAAAATTTTAATGGTGGTTTTTGGCCATAGATATTTTGATTCTTCATCGTTGGAATTGTCTATTTTCTCGTTAAGTAGTCAAATTTTGTTGATCAAGTAAATAAATAAGTTATAAAATAATATCGTTTAGTTATAAGTAACTCTCAAAATAATCCAATCATAATTAGAACAAAAAATTACTTAAAATTACTTTCATACTAAACCAAACATTCAGATTGTTTGCTTTTGCTTTGGTTGACAAGACTACTCGAGCGAGCAATGAGGGCCATAATCCAGCATGATAATAGATAGGTAATTAATAATAATATTTTAAAAAAATCAGTATATTTCTCGTATGCAAATTAAGAAAAGAGTAATGCTACATGCACATAACCATTCACATAATGATTCACATAATTACACGTGGCATGTGATCCAACATTTAATTCAAATTTCACACTTATACATCAACAAGTGGATGATTGCCACGTCAACATTATGTGAACCTTTATGTGAATGGTTATGTACACGTAGCATTATTCTTAAGAAAATAACATAATAAAATTCTATCAATTATTAATCTGAATTAATCTTTTAAAGACATCGTGCTTGTTTGGTTGCAGTATAAGTTACAAAAATTATAATGTGATAAAAATAAGTCATTAATGAATGAATAATAGTTAAAATTAATATTTGACTTTAACTTTTAAATTATACGTGGATTATAATGAGAGGCAAATCACAAAACGAACTAGCTAGCATGCACACATCAAGAAAGAATAGGAGCACATTTAATTAAGCACACGTTTCGATGTGTTTACAAGTATCGGAGTTTATTTTTTTTAAAAAGACGCTACTTATAATTAAAAATAACTTTTTATACTTAGCCAAACAATTCATCAACTAGGAGACATGGTTAAATGCACAAGAACAAACTATAGATGAGCAATGATGGGAATATGTTATAGCATTGTCAAGTGGAAATCTTGAAATGGGTAGGGCACATAGGCATAATAATTAATGATTTACAAAATTGTTTTTCTTTGAAAAAGATCAAAGTTGGAAACTGATAAATTAGGCAAAAATGGAAGTAGCCAATTAAATAATTTTGGAAGTGACGAAGGCTGGATAAGTGGATATTAATTGACAATTTAAAAGAAATAAATGACTTTTACTTTATGTGGCATTAACTCATTGAACTTTTTCAGTGGGAAAAATTTAATGGTGGTTTTCGGCCTTCAAGTTGAGATACTTTGATTCTTTATCGTTTCGAACAGTAGAAGATAAAAAGTTTTGAATTGTCTATTTTTTAGTTAAGTAGNATTAAATATGGTCATAAACTACCACATTAATGTTTCTAATAACTACTTGCCATGCGTGTGCCACATTGGACGACTGCTTCAGTGAGCGACTGCAAGTAGTATTATTCATAATATTACTCCAATTTTTTTTAGAAAAGTCAGTTATAAACCCTGCTTGGCGTAGAAAAGTCAATTTTTTTTTCTAGTTTAAATTTAATTTAAAGTCAATAATTAATTTAGGCACATATCTTATTGTTTCATAAATTTTGTGTCACACATTTCGTAATTTTTATCAAAATACTAAAAAATTGATTTTTGATTACACGAGCCTATTGTTGTAAATTCACTAAGAACGGATCCATCTTTTTAGAAGGCAAAATATGACCGTTGGTGCGTCGCTACTCCATAAGTAGAGAGCCCTTTCAACACAATTTGCCCGTTGAATTTATTCAAGAAATCACCACCAAAGATCTGGAATTTTCCAAGCAATAATCAAGAGATTTTCGACTAAATAAAGAGAAGATATACAGAAATTCCTTAGAAAGCAAAGAAAGTTCGCACAAATCAAAGACAATTCCGTAAGTTTTCCACTTTGACCCTGGTTTCTTGAAATAGCGAGGACTTTCTGTCGAAATGTAGACAAGCATTTCAAAAATTTCCACGTTTAATTATTTATTTCAACAGGGTTTATGTTGGAGTTCGTTTCAATAATACTTTAATTTGATGTCTGAATTCATCATCTTTCTTCCGTCTTTGATTTTTTAAAAAAATTTTAAAGCGTCTTTTTCAACTAGGCATTCGAGAAGAGCGGTTGATTCTCTAAATATTCTTTTTTTTTGTAGATTCAATGGATTTTTTATTCCGAGGTTATAAAATTGATTTTCTTTTATTATGTTGTATGACATGAGTATTAAATTCAAGAAAGGTAATGGAAATTTTAGATAATGAGAGGGAAAATGTCCAGGAATGATAAAGTTATAACATGATTAAGTTAATTACTTTGAAGAAGTGACTTTTATTTAAGAAAACCACTATTCAAGGTAGAAAATTGAAAAAATAAAGCAGGCAAGGACGGAAAAAGAGAATGATATACTGGCGAGGAGAGTTATTTGGTAACAATGTTGAGGATTTATTTGGGCTGAGATCTAGCCGTAGATATCGCATTATACAATGTACAGTATGTTTTGAAGTGATGGAATATGAAGCTGTATAATGATAAGGTAAACCGGAACCGAGATGCCTGTAGAAAAGTTCGGCCTACGAGTTGACAGCCGGAATTTGTAGTTGTGTGATTATCTTAGAGAGTTTTCAACTTGTGCGAATACTTTGTGTGTTGTATCAAGTGACACATTGTGATTGTATTAAATCACAAACTATAAAAAGGAAACAAAAGCGATAAGGCGAAAGAGAAAAATTCTTCAAATGATTGGGTTGTTACTTTAGTTGATCTCCGCGATTTCCTGTTCTAGTTGGTTTGTCTTCTACAAGGTAATTGCTAGGATGCTCTCAGCCTATCACTAGTTTCCTGATTTTGTATTATGTGATAGTCTAATGGTGATTTTATAATATGCCCTTTGAGGTTCGAACAGATTACTTAACGTGTTAGCTACAACATTGATGTGGCTAGGACTACCGGTATATATAAATCTCATCCACTCTCTAGTTTTAATTTCTCAATGTCATTGTTGGCCTATCAAAGTGCTTTATTTAAGAAGATATGGGTTTTTACCTTGTTAAATATTGATGTGTCAATGGAAGTGACCAATTTATGTACAATCTGCCTGCACTGCCTGGAAATCTCACATCTACTATTTCTTTTGATTCCAACATTACATTTCTATATGCTCCAACTAAGAATCGGTTTATTCCAGTGTGTTCAATAACAAACTTTTTGAATGCCTGAATGTTTCAATGAGCCGCTATGAAAAATAAGTTCAGATAATTAGCGTCAATGACTTCTACAACAAATCTAGAATTATTTAATAGTTATATTGTTTATTGGTATATAGATTTCTGTTTTTCGTATTAGACGTTTTGTAACTAATTTATAGATCTATGTGACTGCAGATCATTCTACTGATTTTTAATTGAACAAGCACTCATGGCAACCCACCCAGCTAGTCACCTGATTCAGGATCAGAATCTCAGTATCCTCTCTAATGGTAATTGCTAATTACAATATTTGGTAGTAAAATCATTTTTTGGTGTTTCTTGGTTAGGCATCGGCTGACATATTGCTGTCTTGTTTAGGTGCTACTCTCGGGGGTAAGACTGGTGTCACCAAGGCAGATAAGAAAGGAGGGCTCGGTGGAAGAAAAGCTCTTAATGACATATCAAACTCGAGAAATGCTAACGTGCTTCGAACGAAGAAAGATCTCAGTGTGTCGAAAACTAAGTCTGTTGTTGGGGGGAAAATGGGTGGTAGAAAAGCACTTGGTGATCTTACGAACTCTGTGAAGCCATCCTTGCAGGCAGTTCCAAAGAAGGGTCAAAAGTTGAATCCGGTTGCTGAAGAAAATGTTCCCGTTTGCATTGAGGAGGAGGGGTTCCTGCACAATCATCACGAGTGCATCAAAGTCCAGAGAAATGCTGTGGATGTGGATTATTTTATGAAGTCTGTCATCGGACTAGATAATGGTAATAAATGCTATCTATCCCATTACCGACTGTATTATTATTATTATTATTATTATTATTTTTGGCTAGATATATACATCTCTGTAGATAATTGGTTTAAATTTTCTGAATTCAGATGTTCCTATGTGGCCATCATCTCCAACGGCATTTGTATCATCGTCTAAGCCAAGTGTAGGTTACAATCCTTTTCTTTATTCTTCTTGTTGGATATCTTGCTTGTACACCTCCTCTGTGTTTTCTGAGCCTTCCGTGAGTTCAAAGCAGGCCAAATATTTTTGATGGATAAAAGAGTTACGAATTCTTCTGCTTTTGGCTGCATTTTCTTTTTCTCGTTTTTGTACCTATTATTTCTGGAGTTTGTGGCCTTTTCTTTTAGTTAACATTGAATGCCGCAGTTAAACAAATGTAATTGTCAATATTTCAGCTGGAGAGACCTTTGAAGCACTTGGAAATGGAGGAGATACCAGAGCTGCTATTTGGAGATCAAGTTTCTAGTCTGCGGAAAACCAATATTCCTGGCTACTCTTCGCCTTCTTGGGGATCTCCTAAATCACCTAAATCGCCAAAACTGCCATTTACGAACTGGATGGATTTTTCTGATACCGTGTTGAAGGAGTCTCCAAAACCGCTGAATCCTTGAAGAGGGGGATCCTGAAATCTACCTGTTTTTTCAAAGATTATCGATGATAATCTCTTGAGATGATGTAGTTCTGCACCCGGTTATTAATAGTTATTCTCTATTAGGTCGACTAATTGTCTCGAACTCTTCTTGACATTTGTTTGGGTCGAGAGAGAATAATTTCATCTTTGCTAGTAAATCTAGATTTTATGTTGTTAAATTTGAGAATTGCATGGAGTAGCACGTCTCAGTAGAATTCTAAAACTACTCACAAGCCCCATGTTATATGAATATAAAATTTGCAGACCGAGAGGTCCCTGAAATATCTGTTTTAATTCTCCATGCATCATGGACGGAAGCGGTTAACTCGGATTGATGCTACAAACTTGAAATGTTGTGGATGTAACTATCAAAAAGAAAAAGAATTGAGACATCTGTTACAACTATGTCCGACCCAAGGAATCCTTTAGATATTCTGAACTGTCCGAGTTCAAAGAAACAGCGTAACAGGTTTCAAACTAGTCAGATAATCTGATAAATAGACACAGAGTCATGAAAAGGACCTGAACGATCTAAAAACAAGACTATATGCAATTCATTTATTTCACGGGACAAGAAGACTATAATAAACACGTTGAAAAGAGCCCAAAACAGGCTGGCCAAGAATTGTATGCATCTGTACTTAACCATTAACATTCGGAGTGTGTTTGGGGCTCAATGTAATGAACAAGACTTTATCTAAAACACGCAGTGAAATAGAATTCGAAAGAATAAATTGAAACTGTAATTAGTAATTACCTCTTGGAAGCCATAAAATATGAGATGTTCTTTACAAGTTCTAAAAGGTTTGCCGGATAGACATTTAGGTTAGACTTCTTACACTCTTCAAACGATAGTGATAGCTCTTGATGAGACAACATATGCTAGATCTTCCCTTCCACTCACCAAACTTAGTGACAGCTCTCGATGGGACAACCTAGGTTAGATCATACTGCTATAGCACCACCCCTTGTGGCAACGAACTTGCATTATAAATTGTTCTCGAAGTGTGTGGTAACAATATGTTGAAGCACTTAAATTAAAATTTTAAGCTGTTAGATCGGACCAAATGTATATTATTTAAATATTATCTACAAAACGGCCCTTCATTGTAGGTGAGATTTATTTTTCTCATCAAAGCATAAACCGTACACAATTCATTTAAATAGGTGACAACGAGACTTGAATTCATGACTTTTGCTTGTTTCAATACCACTTGAACCACTTGATCTAATAGTTCAAACTATTAGGTTGTGTTTGATACACAACAAATTCCTTGGAAAATGGAATTTTCCAAGAAATGGCATGTTTGATGAACAAAAAGTGGAAGGGAATTGATTTTCTTGGGGAGAGGCTCACGCGTCTATTTGCCTCTTTTTTAGGGAAAATCAATTAGGTGAGAATTGATTTTCCCAGTTCACGTGTTTTTTTTTTGTAATGAAAACAAATTTCATAATTAATTGAAAAAAAATTTAACTTTAATGGATAATTTTTGTGTAAAATAAAGTCAAACGAACACTAAACTTTGATAAAAAAAATGATTTTTTAGGAAACAATTTTTTTTTTTTTTGTACTTTTTGGCAATGGAAACAAATTTTATAACCAATTGTGGAAAAAATTATCACTTTAATGGACAATTTCCATGTAAAACAAAGCCAAACGTACATAAAATTTAAAAAATTTTCGGGTGGAAAATTATACCAATCAAACACACTTAAAAAATTATTTTCCCTTCAAAGCATTTTTTAAACAAATCTTTCCCCTGTAAAATATTTTCTTTCCACCTATTTTCTACCCTTGCAATCAAACGCAGCCTTAGATTGAGTCGAGTGAATATCATTTAAATATTATTTTTAACACAATATAAACATGGAGGGACAGGTGGTGAAATTTGTTAACAGCAAAGTCCGCAAGATATTGTAGAAGACAACACAATATCACGTCTTGCATGAAAATAAATAGTCATTCATGCATTAGAACAAAGCAATCTGACTTGAATTAACAAGTTGTAGTTAGCAAGTTAATTGCATTAGAACTTTTTAGCAAGTTATTTGCGTGTCCAACGTCTATTTTAATAGGTACATATTTGAGACGTAGTATTAGACTGTTTTGAATATGAAATGACATTATTTCAACTTTTTATTTATTTATTTTATTATCGTTCCATACTATCTAATTTATTTAACCAAAAATGCCATAAAGGAAAATAGTCCCTAATTTGGTCGAGAAACAATCTTCAGTGAAAAAAAAAAGTATAGCCATCCCAAGTTATTAATTAAGGGGCTAAATTTTGTGAGCGCTGTTTACAATGTTCTTGGAGAGAAAATGGTTAATACAAGATTTTTTATTTTTATTTTTTTTAATGTCAAATTACATTTCAACTCTAATCTTCTTTCATTGGAATTAAAAATATGGTCCGATGAGAGGAATGGAAGTGATTGACACAGGAGCTCCTCTAAGTGTTCCGGTCGGTGGAGCGACTATGAGACGAATTTTCAACGTGCTTGGACTGATTACTATTCTCTTGATGTGTATTTTACTCAATTATTCCTTTATATTCTTATTCTCATAATCTTATATTATTATTAAATATGAATCTTAATCTTAATTCATATTCCCTAGTCAGGAGATGGAGGGTTTGCGTTGATTGGATCTTGATGTTCACCGACTGTATGCTTGATGCCCAATACTTCCCAACTCTGTCCGCCTGATGAGAAATGGGCATATTGTAATCATTACTCTATTATCTTTATATTCCCTCTGGTCCACCCGATATCCATTCCTTATGGTTGATTCACACGGGATTTCACGCGTTCCACGCTACTCGAGTCAGAGTGTAAGCTAATGATGCTTTCTGCTACTCGACTTTGGCCATCTATGGTGCAGCATTCGTGCTGAGACAGAGAGAATTAGATTGCAGACACGAGAATTATTAACTACGATTCCCTATAGATATAGAAGAAATTCCAATAAGGAGAGAAGGACCTTTGCCCCGATCAAAAGGTTTAGTCACCAATTTTTTTTTAATTTTTATTTTTTTAAACTGAAGTACCGCTTTTTAATCAATAAAAAGTTTATTTTGTGGTAAAAAGTAATAAAAACAATAGATTAAACAAATAAATAAATTCGGATATCATTCTTCTAAAATTTCGCTAAGAACGAGCCCTCAGTGGAGGCAAAAAAAAAATTAATAAATAAAAATTGACCGTTAAAGAAACTTTATGAATACCATTCGAATAGCCGTTAGAAAATTTACAAGCAATCACCGTTGAAGAACTGTATTTGTTTTCAACAAATAATCAAGAATTCAATCAAATAACGAGAGAGACATAAATTATGCGGCAAAGGCAAAGAAAGTTCGTTTATCAAAGATAAAATTCCGTGAGTTTTCTGTTAGAAATATAAATCATATCTTAAATCGAAACCAAATCTAGATGTAAACAACCTAGATTAAAATAACCAAAAGTCTAGGATCTACATCATGCCATAATATTAGAATTCACGGATTCAGGTTATATACCTAGATCCATTATGAACGATTGTTTACTGTT